GCGTTTTTCTTAGTAGTGGTCCAGCACCCCCTTAAAGGTGTAGAGGTTGTCGTGGTTCCACGAGGCGACGGTCGAGTGCTCACTTGGTATGCTAGCCCGGTGTGTAAGAGCTCGGGCTGCACTTTGAACACTCTCGTTGCCTGGGAGTGACGCATGGGCTGGAGACCACAGGATGCGGACTGGGTGGTCGATCAGACGATGACCAGTGGCGATCTTGAGGGCTTTGTCAGAGATGTGACCTCGCATGTACTGGCGGATGGCCATCTGGAAGTCATTGACGATGACTTTTGTTGTGCTGAGGGTGAGGGCCAAGGCGATGGCTGCTTCCTCTGCCTCTCCACTGTTGCTTGTATACATGCTGCCCGCCGTGAGAATTTGGCCGGAGCGATTCGTAACTGCAAGGGTCATTCGATGTCAGCTGAGGCTGCGTCGACATAGGTCACCTCGGTGTCGTCGTATCCTTGCTGTAGGGTGTTCTCCAGAGCCTTGACTCTGGCCATCCGTCTGCCTGTGTCGTGCACTGGATGCATGTGACGAGGTAGAGGCGAAATCTGTAGTTGCTCGCGTAGCTCCTTTGGAAGCCAGCCTCGCGTCCTGTGCCCTGTTGGGTGGTAGTTGATGCCCAACGACGTGAGGATGGTTCCCCCCTGTGGTCAGAGATAGCCTTTCGTAGTGCGCTATTCTCTGTGCCTCAATGATCTCCGAGAGGGTGTTGTGAAGCCCAAACTTCTCGAGTCGCTTGGTCTCTGTTGAAGGTGGTAGGTGAAGCGCTTTCTTGTATACGCAGCGGATGATGCCATCGATGGCATCCTTCTCCTTGAGTGTCAAGTCCAGAAAGGGTGCGATGTAGGCAATCCTGCTAATCACGAAGGCTTTGATAAGGCGAATGACATTCTGCTCTTTTATCCCGTACCGTTTTCCGGATTCTTGCTTTGAGTACTTGCTGTGCGTGGTTACGGAGGACTGGGACGATGTATGCGTTATTTTCATCTTGTTGCAACCACAGACCGAGTATCCGAAGTCACCGGACCCGAGGGGCATCTTTGCCTCCGACCTGCAGTATGATGCTTGAGGGAGTTTTCAGCGTGGTGCCTGCCATAAGTAGCAACTCCGATTTTTCCTGAGAGCGGGCTAGACCACGCTCCTTAGCGTAGGCTTCCACGATCCGTATAGCTTCTGGCAGCGAGTGTTGGATGGCGCCATCGCTTCCTCCTACCATCCACAGAGTGACATCGTCTGCGTAGATGCTGTGGCGGTCTGCCGACTCCGCCCAGAGTTTGCAGGTCAGTTTGGAGCCCGCCGATCGAGACCTGCACCTGCCTACTTGATAGGAAGTGCTGTGTGTATTTGAATATTCGCTTGTCCACAACAATGGAGTTTAGCCCACGGAGGATGGCTGCGTGGCTGACATTGTCGAAGGCTTTCGAGATGTCCAGCCTGAGTATGGCTTTGGTGTCCCTTTTGGGTGCGTATTCTCGTGCCACAATCTGATGATACAGCCGTAGCATCACGCCTTGCGTCGAGAGCTTACGTCTGAGCCCGACCATCGCGTCCGCGAAGCCTTTGTTGGCTTCTGCGTACCTGTTATGGCATTGTCACACTGCGGAAACAGCAACAGTCCGGAAACATGTTGCTGTCGTCCGAAAACCATGTTTCCCAACTTGTTTTCCGACACTCGGGGAACATCCTGTCACACCGGGAAAGCGTGTCGGAAGAACACAAATCGCCTCCTCTCCTGCGCGCTTTCTCTCTCTCTTTCCTTCGTCTGCCCGGCCGGCTCAGCTCGGCTATACTTTGTTTCAGCTTCGGTCCAGAAGCAGCCAAAGCTACAAGCGCGAGCTCCGGGCTTTCAGCATCCCTGCCAAGCACGCGTGCTCCTGCAGTGCAAGCACTGTTCTAGGCCACATGCTCGCGCTTGCAGCATCGGCTGCGTCTGGACCGAAGCTGAAACGAAGTATAGGCGGCTAAGCTCAGATCCGCTGGATCCGCTCGCCCCTTGAATCGTTGCCATTTTGGACCGCCGTCTCATCGCAGTCGCTCTACCGTAGTCAATTCATCAGCCGCGCGAGCCATCTCGTGTTCTCTGGATTTGGCGATTGCGTTCTGCTACAGGGCTAGACCCTTGCAGGATGGCATACGCGCCGGCCACAGCAGAAGCTTCTGCTTTGGTGCTTCTTTGTGCCATCGATTCAGATGATTCTGACGATCAGCTGCCGCCGCGCAAGAAGCCGCGTTCAAAATGGACCAGCGAGTGGCTCGCAAGACTGCATTAACAAGGCTTAGAAATGGAGAGTTGTCAATTATTGAAGTATTCTCGTGCGACTATCTGTACTGAAAAATATAGATTCTGGGAACCCCGAGTTCCCGCATCCCTATCTAGGCCTAGCTCAGGCAGGCCGTGGGGCGGCCCCACGTTGGGCGCCAGATGTGGTTTTCCCCTTTTATACTTTTGCGGCGTATCTCCGAGGCAGTCGCTTTCGCGACTTGAACGAACTGGCCTCGGAGTCTAGGCGGATTCAAGGAGACACTCTTGCCGCACGAGCATATCGTCCCCCACCGCCAGCATCAGTGGCACTCGAGCCGCGCTGCACTTGGAACGGGGACGCGGCGTTCCGAAACAGGAGACACGAAGCCGCCCACTACGCAGACAAGCGAAGTCGAAACACGTACGACATATCAGATCGTGTGCTCGACCCGTACTCCTATGAACGACGGGCAGCAGAGACTGCGCCGCAGTTCAACAGGCGAGATCGGACCACAGAGTTACCGACGCCACGGGAAGAAACGCGACCAAAGCGTCCAAACACACAGAACGAAAGGCGCGGCGCCCATCAAAGCGCACAACAGGACGCAAAAAAAGTCTCGCAACAACGTTGCTTTAGCTGTAATAGCGCCAACCACCTGGTTCGGCAATGCCCAGAACGGCAGAACCCCGGTCCCCAACAGTCGGGAAACGAGCAATGCCGCCGATAACCAACCCGGCGGCTCAAAACGGCACGGAGCAAAAGACTCTTTTGCCTACAGCCTACAGAATAGGCTTTCCGACCGGCACGCTAGCGCCATTCATAGCCCTGACGATTGTCGGTCGGTCGTTTCAGGCACTGCTGGACACAGGAGCCAGCGCCTCGCTTTTCGGCGACGAAGTGTTGACCCACCTCCAGCAAAACTCAGTGCATATGACGGAGGGCAACACGGCCTTTCGACTCGCGTGCGGCACCGCTCATTCAAGCGGCACTGTGTGGTTGGTTGCGAGATGGGAGAATCGAGTAAGACGGCAACGCTTCGTTCATCTCCCCAGTCTTTCCGTTCCGATCATCCTGGGCAGAGATTTTCTCGCCAAAACAGGGATCGTAATCGACGTGAGTAGCGGTGGCTACCGAAAGGGCACATTCGCACCTCTGAAACTCTTCTGCGAACCCCCAACGCCAGAAAAAATACTGGTTAATGCGGCAGACAGCAGCTGCCAAGACATGGCAACAGAATCACAAAAACCGGGTATCAACCCCTCGACAGGTACCCCGACGCGGTTGCAAACAAGCGCCATAGCGTCGGAGGTCACCCACCCCCCGCTGACTGAGTCATGCTGCGGGTCAGGGCAAGAAAAAGCCCGTTTGTCGACATTATTGCGACGCTATGACGCCATGTTCACGGAGCGTCCCGGGTGCACAAACGAAGTGCGACACCGGATCGACAAGGGCGATGCGCTTCCTCGGAGGCAAAACGCACGACCCGGCAGTCTGCCTAAACGAAAAGCCATCGACGTCGCTTTGAACGAAATGATCGACACCGGAGTTGTCCTGCGGTCAAACAGTCCCTGGGGATTCCCCGTTGCGTTGGTCCCAAAAAAGAACGGCAGCTCTCGTCTCTGCGTAGACTATCGCCGTCTAAATGACGTAACGCGGAAAGACGCATACCCCCTACCGACCATTGACTAGATCCTTTTCAACCTCGGCAGCGCACGATATTTCACAGCCCTGGACGCTAGCCGAGGCTACCTTCAAGTTCAAATGGAGGCAGGTGACGAGGCAAAAACAGCCTTTGTGTGTCACCGCGGGCTTTTCAAATTCAAAAGAATGCCCATTGGTCTGTGCGGAGCGCCAATGACGTTCCAACGTTTGATTGACCGAGTACTGGGAGAAGCCAAATGGAAACATGCAATGGCCTATCTCGACGACATTGTCGTGTACTAAAACACCTTCGAAGATCATCTACGAGATGTGAAGGATGTGTTCGACAGGCTAAATGCCGCGGGTATCACTTTAAACCCAGAAAAGGCCCAAATAGCCGCAACCCGCATCAACTTGCTTGAGTTCACGCTCGATTGCGGGCGCATCACTCCAAACCCCGAGAACTTAAAGGCTATCCGGGAGTTTCCGGCGCCGACGGACGTAACCTCGCTCCGTCGCTATCTGGGAATGGTAAACTTTTACCGCCAATTCATCCCAAACTACGCATCACTCTAAGCGCCACTAACATGGCTACTGAGAAAGACCGTGAGATGGAGTTGGGGTCTCGAGCAGGAGGCAGCATTTCGCTGCACCTCTAAAGCGCTCGCGGACACAGCTGAACTAAAGCTGCCCTACTTGAACAAGCCTTTTGTGATCCAAACGGACGCGAGCAAACTGGGCTTGGGAGCGGTCCGGCTCCGAGAGCACGAGGGAGTGCTTGGTCCGGTAGCTTTCGCTAGCCGCTTGCTGACACCCGCTGAGGTGAACCACAGCACATGTGAACAAGAGTGCTTGGCCATTGTATTCACCCTGAAGCGCTTCGACATTTATGTCGACGGGACCGCGTTCACGATCGAAACAGATCACCAGAGCCTAATATGGCTGTCCAGACTTCGCGAACCCGCAGGACGGTTAGCGAAATGGGCCTTGCTACTGCAGAAATACGACTATGTCGTGCGGTACAGAAAAGACAGCACAAACGTGGTGGCCGACGCACTGTCGCGAGCTTTCGTAGACTGCACAAATCTTTCCGCGAGGACCCAGGCCGAGCCAATGGCAAACACCAAGCCACGCGAAGCCGAAAATCCGTCCAAGGTGGAGGCAATACCTCTGAATTCCTCGGACGAAAACGTGAACCACATAGACGCTGTGAGCGCAATGGGGATCGTGTTCAGCAAAGAAGAGTTACTGAAAGCTCAGCAGAATGATCGGTTTTGTCGAAAGGTGATCGACGGACTCTCGAGTGAGTCGGACTCTGTGGAGTCGGGCGGCGCGTCCGCCGGGCGTACGACTGCTGGTATTGCAGTAAACGCCGAGTGTCGGGATGCATCTGGTACTGGTACTGACACGCTGTATTAATTTCTGCTAAACGCCGACGGGCTCCTGCTGAAGTACATCCCATCTGAGAAGGACACAGATAATGTGTTCAAGGTGGTAGTGCCAAAAAGTCTGAGGTGCGCAGTAATGTGTTACTATCACGACTCGCACTTGGCCGGACATGCGAGCGGCTCCAAGCTTACGCAAAGTAATGCCACATCGCAACCTGGCCGGGCATGAAAAGGGACGTATTCCGCTACGCCCGCACGTGCCACACTTGGTAAAGCTTCAAACCAAGAGGCGGCAAACCTCCGGGCCTAATGGAGCCGATCCCCAGCCAAGAACCATGGTCTTTGGCGGCTTGCGACGTGGTCGGCCCTTTACCAAGGAGCCCCCAAAAATACCAGTATCTATTGGTTGTCACTGACCACTTCAGCAAATGGGTAGAACTTTTCCCACTACGAAAACTGACGGCCCGAGCAATCACTGAAAAGCTCATGGAGGTGTTCACCCGATTCGGGTTCGCTGAAGCCCTTCTAACAGATAGAGCAAGCTACTTCGTCGGGAAGGTATTTGTTGACGCTTGCAAAGCGCTGGGCATCAAGCACAGAACAACCACACCCTACGACCCACAGGCGAACATCACGGGGCGATGTAACAGAAACATCAAACCCATGCTGGCAGCATTTGCCGAAAAGCACCGCGACTGGGACGCATACATTCCCGAGATTGGGTTCGCTCTCCGTTCCACTGTCAATCATTCGACAGGTTTCACCCCCGCTTTCCTCACATATAAAAGAGAATTGCCGAATCCAATGAACCGCGTCCTGGGGGCAAACGCTGGGGTGAGCGACGCACAGTGGAAACAGACTGAACAGGCACGCACACTACAAATTCGGATGACGAAAGCTTTCTCGGAGGCCCGTCGCAATCTCGGGGTAGCGCGAGCTAAACAAAAAGCTCAGTACGACCGCTCTCACCGGAATCTCCGCTACAAAGTAGGCGATCTCGTGCTCAGACGAAATCATGTTCTGAGCGATGCCAGCAAAGGCTTTTCTGCTTCACTGGCACCAAAGAGGTTGGGCCCGAACCGAGTCCACGAAGTATTGTCACCACTCGTGTACAAGCTGACTGAGAAGGACTCGAGAAAAGTCAGCGGGCCTGTGCATGTCTGCGATCTCAAACCCTACAACGAAAGGGAAGAAGAAGGGGACGAACAAACGCAGCCCCCGCAGCATTATGCACGCAAAACGCGAGATAACGCCGAGGATGAACAGGCGTCTCGCTACAATCTGCGAACTCGGAAAAACTAATATCCGAAGTTTTCGTAGAGGCAGCCCCATTAAGTGGCGAAATGTCACATTAAGGGAAGTGCAAAGCACAATGCACCTGCTGCCTTCGCGAACGCGCCACACACCATTGTTTTACTGGCAAGCAGTGACCTAGATAGAAGGTCACCTCAGCGTTCGCTCCCGGATCAACCGGTAGGGGAATCCCCCGAACTACGGCATCCGAGAGAAAGGGTAGGCGTAACGGTCATTGGTCAGTTATTAGGGAGTTGTAGTAGATCGTTTTCTCCTCCGCTACGGTATCCCCGAAGAAAACGCCGCAGCTGCGCATGCGCGCCGCCAGCCTTGTCTGCATAGTTCAAGGTCTTGTGTCGGATTACGGAGCGCTATCCGGGTGCTTAGCGGGCTGCGGAAACGGTCTACTACAATTCCCTACTGCCACGTACGCTCACGTGCCCACACGTTACCACAAGAGCGCGGTGCACCGTGCGAGCATCGTCGCAAGCGTTCGGAGACCAAGTGGTCATCCGACCGCAGTACGTCACACGCATCCACGAAGAAGATCCCCCAGCCAGTACGGGGCTTCGCGCCGTTCGGGAGCTGCTGTCTCCTGGTTACGGCGGTTCAGCGGCGTCCATGGGCCACAGCTGCGCGTGACTCGTCAGGCAGCCCCGCTACCCCAGCCGGCCGCGGGCCGAACCAGCGACCCGCAGACTTTGTGCGCCGCGGGGTTCGACATCCAGTCAGGGGACTGCCCAATCTTCATCCACGTCCACGGGACCAGCGCGGCGGTCGGACAGCTCGCCGACCAGGAACCAGCTGTTCTCGTTCGTCCCGTGGCAAGTCCCAAGGGCCCCGCGATCCACGTCTACCGAGGACACTACGCCACGGTGAGCGAGTGACTGCGTCGTAGGGAACGTCACGAAGAACGTCGACTTATTTGTTAGCCCATGCATGTGGGTTGCGGCACCGCCGCGTTGTTTTGTTTTCGAGAGCCGGTAGGTTAATTTTTATTTTTCTTGAACCTACCTCAGCCTTCGAGAGCGTGTGGGAACCCCGTGTTCCCCGCATCCCTATCTAGGCCTAGCTCAGGCAGGCCGTGGGGCGTCGCCACGTGGGGGCGCGTCCCGGATGCGAGGGCGAAGTTGTATTCCCTGGTGGACGGCAGTCTTGAGTAGTAACGCGTTACTGTAACTTCGTTACTTTTTTGGTAACTTGTAACTCTGACGAGTTACTTTTTAAAAATGTAACTTGTAACTGTTGTTCTATTACTTTTTTCTAAAGTAACGATGAAAGTAGCGACGTTACTTTTGTCGTTACTTTCCAGTGTTTTATGAATAATATATCACTGAACGAGCTGCAATTTAGCCATTCCTTGCACTTTCCAAATCGTCTATTCCGACATTTCGAGTGTCAAGTTGGCCTTGCACAAAGTTGTGAATACGTTTTTTCTCGCGAGTCACGACCCGAATATTGCCACGTGTAGATTTTATGAAAAAATATCTAGTTATCTTTACGCACGCGCTTGTACTTTTGACTGAACACTTACATCTTGTGGTTTTTCATTTTTCTGTGCAAACGCATTTTAATCGGGTGAGCCAGCCGTGAAACAAAAATACACGGGAAGGACATTGTGCATGTCTCATATTTTGATTAGCGCCACTACTCCCCACTGCGCATGTTTCGTATTTTGATTTGCGTCACTACTCTGGCATGGAAACTTTCAAACACTAACTTCGAGAAGCAACTGCTGCTAAGTTACAATATGAAGTAAAATGCGTACTTTTTATTTTTATGCAACAAAACGTTGTGAGGGGCGTTTTTTAATTTTTTCTAGAAAAGTAACTAAAAGTTACGTCGTTACTTTTTATTTTAAAAGTAACTGTAACGAGTTACTCTTTTATTGCGGTAACTGTAACGGTAACTTCGCTACTTTTTTCTAAAAGTAACTGTAACTTTAACGAATTACTTTTTAAAAGTAACTTACCCATGACTGACTGGACGGCTTTCCCTCGCCCTTCTCGGGTGATTTGCCTAAGGCACACCCCTCGGGATCATGACATGACTCCATTCCCGCAGGCTATATAAGACGGCCCTAATCCAACGGGCGGGACTCTCGCCGGGGGATGCTCTGCTCGATGGAGCCTTCATATCTTTATTTGATCCTCCCCCTCCGTGATACTGTCAATAGTGGCAGCGCAAACTCCGACTGGCCATCCTGTCAAAAGAGACAGCGCCGTCATCACCACCATTGTTGGCCTTCGGGCAAGCGTGTGACATCTGAGTCAAATAAACACGTCTTTATCCGGACCCAAGGAACCTATTGTGTTTCTAAGTGGCACGCCCATAAAAGGGGAAAACCACAAGTGTTGCCGTGTTGCTGGGAAAGAATTCGCTCAGCCACCGAAATGGGCAACACGTATCGTCCGACACAAGTTGCCGAGGTTTCCGTTGCCAAAAGCTGTCACACCGAGACAACATGTCGCTGTCGTCCATGTTGTGTTGCTGTTTCCTCAATATGACAGGGTTGTCGGGCAACAGAGCCGACAGCCGACATATTTCCCGACTGTTGAGAAACATGTTTTGTTGATGTTTCCGCCGTGTTTCCTCAATGTGACAGGGCCTTTAAGGCGACTGAGTACGACAGGCTCCACAAGACCTTTCCGAGACAGAATGTGAGCGAAATGGGGCGCAGTGCGTCCAGTTGTAGTTTTTTCCCAGGCTTGGGTATAAAGAACATCTTCGTAGTCTTCCAGGATTCTGGGATTTCTCCCTTTTTCCAGCAGACGTTGAAGTATGATGTTAGCCGGTGAATCTCTCCGTCGTCCAAGTGGCGCTGTAGCTTGTTGGAGACTTCATCAGGTCCTGGAGCGGAGCGGGTCTTGAGCTCTTGGATCGCAGCCATGACATCGAAGGGTCGAAACTCTTCGTCTAGCGTAGGGTTTGGCTGGCCCGTGTATTTCATCGCAGGTGTTGGTGGAGCTCGTCCGATATACTTGTTCTGTACTGTTTGGACAAGCTCTTTTCCATCTCCCTTGAAGAAGTTCAGGATACACTCCATCTGATTTCGGACTGTGGTTCGGCTTTTTCCGGGGTCTAGGAGATGTCGAACGATGTTCCATGTCTTTGGAGTGTTGGGAGCTCCTTCGATGTCGTTGCAGGTGTCTTCTCATTGCTGAGTTGTAAGATGGGTGGCGTGACTCTCGATGGTCTTGTACAATGTTGCGATTGGTTTGCGTAACCGACGATTTTCTTTCTGTCGCCTTAAGGGTGCTTCAATGTTCGTCTTCATATCCCATAGGTGCAGGAGCCGACTGTCCGTCGCGGTCAGATTTGCTTCCTCGGGAATGTTTCTTGTGGCTGAGGCTTCAACTTCTCTGATGCCTGCAGTCCACTGATCCAGGTCCTTAATCTATTTTTCTCTGTCCACTTCGTCCAGCTTCTGCCTGAAAGTGTCCCACTCGACTATTCGCAGAGGCCTTCCCTTGGGCTTCGTGGGGCCGCGTCTCAGGAGAATGTTGAGGATGGAGTGGTCACTGCCCA